CCTCCCTCCCTCCTCTCTCGCGCGCGCGCGCTCTCTCTCTCTCTCTCTCTCTCTCTCTCTCTCTCTCTCTCTTTCTAAAGCGCTAGAGCTAGTCGCGCGATCACTGCAACGTAAAGGGAGGTCGCGTGTGCGTCCGTGTATCAATATTAGTGGCTCGCGCAGCGACTACATGCACACATGATACAGGTGTCGTGCAGCACACACACACACACATAGAGATCAGACGTCGACGAGAACACTTGAGAAGACATGCGATTTCACGGCAATCCGCATTTATCGCATTCCTAATAGTTACTGGACCGGTGCGAGACGCCGCAACCTCCGCTTCCCCGCACGGCTCTGTCAACGCGACGGTGACAGTCTAGACTATTACGGGTCAGACTGCCGATGGTGTGGCGAGTACGTGTGCAGGTTGTATTCCGCAGGTTACTCGGCTGTCTATATACCACCGCAACAATACACCGTGCGTGTCAATACGCCCCAACAGACCCGCCTTTAGATGTGCAACGTAGAGCTCAGACAGCGAGCGAATGTCGTTGTCGGAGCGACGTCGTTGCTAGTCTAGATCGGTGAACATTCCTGCGTAGTACGCAGTGCACTGGCATGTATGCATGTATACCTACCTGGCTGTAGCTGTAATGATTAGCGGCGGCTAACCAGGACAAGCATCTCGGAGCAGCAGCAGCCGCAGTAGCAGCAGTAGCAGCAGCAGCAGCAGCAGCAGCAGCAGTAGCAGCAGTAGCAGTAGCAGTAGCAGCAGCAGCAGCAACAACAGCAGCAGCAGCAGCAGCAGTAGCAACAGTAGCAGCAGCAGCAGCAGCAGCAGCAGCAGCAGTAGCAGTAGCAGCATCACTAGGAGCAGCAGCAGCAGCAGCAGCAGGAGGAAGAGTTTGCTCTAGTTGTTCATGCTCTCGGGGCATTTTAAATTGCGGCCATCGTAATTCGTAATTACTTTGCGATTAACGAGCAGTGATGTAGTACAGGTGTTCTCAGCAGAACGCTTCGTGTCATTTCGCTAGCACGTCGACCGTCACTAATTCATCAAGTCCCGAGACGAAATTCGCCGTCACGGAACATCTATATAGTGTGGCCTCGCTGACGTCACGATCCCGTTAGCTACGAGATCTGTCCGCCATGTTGGATGACACGCAGATCCAACATGGCGGTCATCGGTCATTGATAAACGACGGAAGACGGCCGAAGGTGTTGCTAGTAAGCCAAGATGGCCAACCGGAAAGACTATGACGTCACGCCGATCGGGCTATACAACGCTTACACCAGCGCCCCCCACCCCCGAGTTACGTGAACAGCAACCAAACATATTATAGGACCAGCCACGCTGCGGCCTGCTCGGAGATAAATCACAGAGAGGGTATCAACGGTGGATCTTTTTCTATTGAGTTCTTTTTCTTCTGTTGGAGGATCTTTGTCTACCGTTGCGTAGTGTAACTTACCTATGAATTCATATTTCGATAGTCCGTTAATTTCTTGGATTTAACACAAGATAAACTATGAATTCATAGTCTCAACGAAATCCAATAAACTTATTTCATTCATTTGTAACTCACCTTTTCAAAGTCGGTGGTGTTGAGCTCGTGAAAGATTAACTCAGCTTCTTCGCCGTCCAGCATGACGGTGACCGCCTTCGTATCGGCAGATTCGTCTGCAATGAGCAACGAACCATCTTATAACATAACGAACGATATTACAAAACCACGACCAATCTTACAGCATAACGAACGATACTACAAAACGAACCATAAAATACT